TGCCCGACATTCTTTCCAGAGGTGAGTGCATACACGTGTCTAACATAATATACTGTAGAGGAAACATGTGTTGTTCCCTGAAACCATCAAGTATTATATGCCATCAAATGCAATCCGCTTCCAACCTTGGAGGTGAAGGGTTGGAACGTTCACCTTTTTTTTCGCTTCGAAACGAATGTGAACTCCGAGGCCAAGGTGTGGAAGCTCTCCGAGGAGATGCCAGCCGTGTGTGCGACCTAAACTTTGAGCGGGATGGGGGCTTAGGTCGAGTTCGCACTGATTATCATATGGAAAACTCGGTGGATTTACACTCCATGCGAGAATGGAACATGCAAAGAGAATCCCTGAAAGACCGTTGTTTGGATGGTTGTTTTTGACTTGCATCATTGCTGGAAGAAGGATATGTCAATATCTACAGTGTAGGGATGTGTAGGGATTGATGGTTATTCTGGATGTTTAGAATATGTATATATATATACCCTAAGGCTCCAAGTACCTCCTTGGAAGGTATGACTGGACCCTCTAAACCCACCCCAGTCCCACCTGCTAAGAAGGTCCGACTGGAGCCCTAGGGATACATATTTTTGTTGTCAGTTTTCTTTTTGGTCGCTTGTAGGTAGTCCACCTTCCTCGCGCACTGCGGCCAAACTCGTGGGTGTGGGTGGGGTCGGGTTCGCCGCTACGCAACCGCTGGGGACGACCGAAGGTCGTTGTGTACCTCGCCGTTGTTTCCAGAAGATGCTGGAGGCGCGCAGCCGGCCAATCTTGGTGCTTGGAAGCTGGTCGATAGGTTGGTCTCAGCCCGGGATCCTATCCCCGCATACGCGATTGGCCGTGTTCAGCCGATTTTTGGAAGTGTTGGCAAAAATTGGCTCCCAGCTTGGTAATGCTTAGTTGGTTTCACCGTGTAACCGTGTAGACAGTGTAAGGAACACCTGGTTCCTCAGGTCTTTTCTCTCCATCGCGTCAATCCATCGAGTGGATGGGTGATTTGAGGCGATTCTCCTCCTCGGTCCTCGGGGGCGCATGATGACGCACCAGGTCGTCAAGACATGGAGGAGGACCATCGTCACCAGGTCATCATTTAGATGACCATTTGCTGGACCCATTATCATCGTCATATCGTCTCCACATGAGAAATCATTCCACATCAGTTACCGGCTCCAGTTACCGGCTTTTTGTCGTGTTTGACATCATGAGCCTTTTGAGCCGTTGACCATGGAAAAATATGGCACAACGTTTCTGTGAGGAACCCATCGCTCCTCGTGTTCGCAACCGAACATGCTGCACCGGTTGCGCCGTCCTTTGCACCGTCCTCCACCAAAATGTCAGTCCTCCAAGGATTCTCAGGACGTGGAGGCCGAGAATGACTCGTGTATACTGTATATGGTAATATACAGTGAAACTTTGTTTACAAGCTGAAATGACCAGGGAAATCATTTTAAGAAAAGTTGACTAGCATCAAGGGCGTCGCGGTGTTGCTGCCTTTTTTAAATATGACGATGCTTTTGTATAAAGGATGTCTCACAAATGATCAAGCATCATAGTTAATTAATCATCATAGGGCCTGATTAGTATACTAGGACTGAGCTCTCTTGGTATTGCTTTTGGTACTCTCGATTCTTGTGCTGTTTGATGCATAGTGCATTTGCACGTTCAGCTGGTTTCTATGTTTGTGTATTTTTGGTGGAGTGTTTTGTTTCACCTATTTTTCACAGTTGTGCAAGCTTACGTAGTAATTCCCCGTGTCTATTGATCTATCCTTCTTCCGCGTGGCTGTTGGGAGCCTATTTGTGCTCGCGAGAAGACAAGGGCCTGGTTTGACACGGTGGGTTTGAACCTGAAGTGCGCACCAGTTTCTCAAGTCCCATCCTGTTGCATTTTGATATCCATTTGGTTTAAGGGCTTCTGGGCGCGTGCTCTACGTGTTGAGGCTCTGGTGCAAGCGCTGGACTGCTTCACTTGAAGGGCGGCTTCCGTCCGGGACGCCCGGGGGAGTCGGTCGTGACTTGTGGATGATCCCTAACCGATGGATGTTGATTCCAGCAGGAAAAAGAAGTCTCCCTATTTCTCCGTATTTCTACACCCGCCCAAATATGATATATACATCATGAGTATACATCATCATGCCTTGACATCTTCCAGTGGGTGCGGACCAAAGCTGCTGAGTGAATGACTCAAACACATGAGCGACATTCCTCATGCGGCAAGCTCTTCATGCTTGGAGTACGAATTGCCCCAGAGGCAGATGGATTCCCATCACAAAGAAGGCCCTACAACTCGGTCAATAACTCCCAATGTAGATCAATGTAGACTCTTGATTGATCCCTTGACTATTGGGATCCATTTGGATCATGAGAAAAAAAACAACTTTACAGTGGATTGAGAGTAGATGGCAGCACAAACCCCAAGATGTCTTTTATATAGGGGTCCATATAAACCACCTTTTGCGGAGTGTGCCATCTACTCTCAACCCACTGTAACGACAACTTATTAAATATTAGACATCGGGGATGTAGTCTGTTATTGTCCATTTGGACGGTTGATTTTAAAAACAACTTATGTATATGGGGTTGTTCTTGAATCAACCGTCTACATTAGACAAGAACAGAAGTTCCATTCAATCGGCCCAACGACGCTCCCCCGGTTCCAGGGTTTCCTTCACAAAAGGTAGCTTCATGAGTTTCGGGACATGATTGAACTGCTACATGAACCCAAATGAACCCAAACTTCAAAAGGTTTTGCTTGAGGACCTACAGTAATAGGTATAGCTTCAAGCGTTCTCATTGTTGTGAGTTTGCTGGCCGCCACGATTCTTAATGGACTACCTACCCTGAGGCCAAGAGCACTTGCTGAAGACCTGCGCAGCGGAGATGGTCTTCAGATAAAATCTGGGGCAAAGCGGAGCGCCAAGTCTCAAGGACGCTGCGAACGGGGCTCCTGGCCTTCCTACTACGAGCAAGGACGCTACTGGGGGCTAAGTCTACAGAGGCAACATAGTCTACCCATCGACCGGAAGAGTCCAGCATAGTCCAGAGTAGTCGATGGATCGATCAGCTCATGCGGCACGAGGTCCTATGCGCATGGGCGCACAGTCATACGGAACCACCAGGATTTGGTGAAGGATTTGGGGTGATGATCTCTTTGATCTCCAAGCCGCATGAGCAGTTCTATGCAGGTCTCATATCGCATGAGGGTCTTGTCATGCCCTACCCTTGAAGACTCAAGTACCGTCAGAGGTCGACTGCTGCTTTGGGACGAGGACCTGAAGCACAAGAGGCTTCGCACTTGTCATGTGTTCACTCCTCAATCCGTGCTTTTTTGAGGTGGGTGCTAAGAAAAGTGTGCCTGGGACACCGTTCTGATCAAGGTGTCCATCCGTTGCTAATTGTCGTGTGTTGGTTCTTTGGTGTTGTTGGTGTTCCTTTGTCAATTCTGACATGCATGGCTTGCATACCAAGAGCCCAGGGGCTCGAGCCTGGCAGAAGTACTACTGTACAATGAGAATACATGAAACACATGACATGACTATCACTGACAGGAAGAGCATCACAGAAGCCAATTAATGGATCCCTTGGTGTTTTCGAAGTCGGCAGAGAATTACCCGTGCCTCCCAAAGAATCTCTTAGTTTGGCAGGAGACTTGCCGTGAGAAGACTCATTCCAAAGGCGGTGTCACATGGTGTTCAGCAAAGTTCCCGCCGCAACCGGGTTTTGTTTCGGCTTTTCTTATTGCCCTCGGTCTCGTTCCATAGCGCGGAGCGCCCCAAATGGACGGCGATGAGAGCGTGGCCACCGCTGCCAGTGGCCTCAGAGACGAAGATGTGGAAGCGAGAACACAAAGGCTTCATGGCCTAAGAGCGATGGCCTCCACCGGGATGAGAAAGCAGTTGTTTGGCCGCTTGGCGAGGCGGAAAACTTGGGTTCCACCTTTTGGGTCTGACTTTGCTCGTGCTGCGGCTGCGGTGGAAAGATTTCTCGGACCCATAAATGAACTTCTATTCCACCAGCTTTGCCCCAGCAAATTAATACTACCCGCCTTGGATAGTGGGGTTGGATGGTTTTGATCATGGAGCTTCCCTTCTCGGAAAATGAAGCACGTGCCCCGCTCACCCCCACTGATTTCTTTGCAGTGAGCCTGGCGCGTCAAATAAATGGTTGACAAAAGGAAATGCATGAATCAACATTGACGATGTGCAACTATTTCATCCACAGTATCAAACTGTTGGAAATATCGCAGCATCCAATTATTCGGATGCCGCTGGCCGCTGTTTGAAGAGACGCGCCAGCCATGCGAACTGTTGAGGTCCGGATCTTGAATGCCTTGTCATCTGAGCAGTTGAGCCAGGCGGTTTCGGAGGAAGCGCAGTCGCCCGCAGAACGGGCAGCCGGAGGGGTGGCCGTTTCGAAGATTTTCGAAGAACCTCAGTCACCAATCGAGTCGTTTGAGATTGTTTGCTGTTCTATTTGAGGGTGACGGTCCCCTGTTCTTGTGCTTTTTTGGTGGTCAATACATGTCAATACTCCAAAAAAGCGTAGAATCAGACACAGGCATTTGATGATTTATATGCTCTTCTATGTGGCACGTTTTTGATGCTTGCCTTGCCTTCACACACAGTGCCGTATACTGCGTTTCACTATGCCATCCCGTATGGCTACGATGATGAGTGTTTGTGGAGACTTGTTCGTTCGACAGACCAACGCAACTATATCGTCTCGTTTGCACACCACGATCGGCCCTGGTGATTCGGGTTGACGTTCCCAGTGAACTTGTCCACCAATGGATAGAGCTGGGATGAAATAGAGAGATTGCAAGAACTCTCAAGAAATTCGATCCAGGGGTTATTCCTCTCCTTCCTAGTAGCCCACCTATGCTTGACCCTGCTTGAGACTGCCACATGACCAGTCTCAAGCAGTCGACCTCAGACAGGTGGCGGATGACCTCTCCACCAGTGCCTTGCTCGGCCTTGTGCCCCGCGGGCCCGGTGCCCAGCTGGGTGGCTGGACATGAGGCGCCACAAGAGATGGTAGGCCTGGATGGTAGGTGAACCATGGTGAACCTGTCCCAGTAGGTGAACCTGTCCCCCTTTTTGATGTTTGAGAGAAGGTCAAGAGACGCACCCCAGGAACCTCATGTTGGGCCAACATCACTCCAACCAGTGTATATATACACAGTACCTGCTCATAAAGTCTACGTCGACTTGGGAATTTCCAGCCGGACATGAGAGCACCGCACCAAAGAAAAACACAAAATGCACTTGAGCGTCACCAAGGCAGGCAAGGCTGAATGCTTTGCACCAGCAGGTGCCGGGAGACGTGCGCATGGTACCGGTGTTTGGGAGCCCCAAAGGTGGCACAATCGGGAGAGACGTGCGGCACGGCCGTGGCGCGAAGGCGGACGGTTTTTGTCGTGTTTCTTCACGAGAACAAGCTAGTTTCTTTGAGCTGCTTGGCAGCCGCATATATACTATATATAGCTGCAAAAACGTTGTAAGAAGAACAATTTACGACGTGCCTTGTTTGGTTGAAAGTGAAGTCCCAGATCCTTCAAGTTTGGCGTCCGCTCATCGCATCCGCGTCAGGGGAATGTGCCTGTTGGCGTTGGGTGCCCAAGACGTCCCGTGCGTCTCGTTGACTGGTCCAGGGATGGACTCACCGCAGGGCATCACTGGGTCGAAGACCACTGGTAACATCACCTCCAAAGGTAAGGATTTCCTACTAATGCAAGAAATTATCCTTTACCATCATCTCCATCACTTGCAATCCTTACCAAAGATCGGCGGCAAGAACATCACCTCCAAGAATTGGAGTTATTGTTTTTCAGGGGCATTGAGCTGGATTGAGATGAACTAGGGCACTAGGGGGTTCACATCATCTACAAAGGTCCTGTAAATTACTGTAATATTCTTTCCCCGATGAATGTAGACTCTTGATTAATAACACCCCTCATTTGAATTCAATACGGGTGCTCCAATACGGGAAATTAATCAAGAGTCTACATTAAGGACCCCGTGTTATTAAACCAACTCCCGTGTTCTTAAACCACTCCTGATATAGATAAGATGGTTTAAGAACATTCCCCTCATACGAGTCGACATGACTTTGAAAACAATATCATTTCAGGTCGCTCTTGTGGCCGACTTCCCGGCCAGTCACCCGCTCGCCGGTATCGGTCGCTTCGGTCGCTTGCTGGGCCTTTTGGTATCCTCCCAGGGTGCCACACCGGGGCGCAGCCCGGAGCAGGTGGGATCCATGGGTGTTGGGTTCTAACTTGAATTGTTCTATTTCCAGCAAAAAATAGTAGATTATTGTTTAATTGTTCTAACTTGGATGGTTCTAACATATATTTACATACATGCATGCATACATACATACATACATACGTACATACATACATACGTACATACGTACATGCAATGCTATGTAGATGCTAGATTGATTTCCAAACATACAAGGGTAAAACCATGCAAAGCAAACTTCTGGGCCTCACGTTGATCTCTTGTCCAGATGTTCACTGCTTAGGAGCCAGCATTTTAGGCCAACATCGGTCAGGCTCTCATGGACTCCGAAGTGTAGCTGTGCACCTGGTCAGGTTCCACACTTTCCTGCTAGCTTTGCTGGGTCCATTGGCCCACTCCTATGTACTTATTGCCTGTGTTACAGTGTTGGGATGTAGCAATGGGTTATGTATTCATACCTTGCCGGTCATCGACGTGTCAACCTGTTCCCGTTTTGCCGCTGTCCGCTGCCGTTGTCCAGCTTGGCCACAAAATGGTAGGACCGCACGCGTCACGGCACGTCATCGGCAGCTTGATCGCGTAGGCAGAAGTCGCGTCACCTGCAGCGAACTCACCCATTCCTAAACCAAAAACCATCACTCCGGAAAGTCCCAGACCCTAAGGTGACCAAAAAATTGATAACTCGGTCAAGGCATCTAAGATTGCATTGGGTTCCCATGGGTGGCAACTGGTGGGTGCACATTAATCACCTGCTGCCATACCAAGCCACATGTGTCCCTCAAAGGGCATATTGATCTTCAACCAAGACAAGTGTATAGTCACTGGGTTGGTAAGTCATCTCCTTGGCCGCGCATCCTGTCATCCTCCAGTGCCCTTTGGCACCTTTGGGTCGATTTTCCTCCCGCCATGGGTCAAGCAGATGCAGAACCTCCCATGGTGGGGACGGAGATGCCAGAGGAGAAGGAGCCAGGAGGCTTGATGGCCTTTCTTCAGAAGTTGGCCCCAGTAATCATTGAGTTTAGTGCATGCAAAGTATGTATGCAAAGCTCTACTGTTGGGTCAAGGTACCTCTATAAGTATAGTGCACATCTCTAGGGTGGTGGTTGGAGCCCTTCTCGCGATGCAAACATGTCAGGTCATGTTCAAAGTACAGCGCTTGCCCTCCCTGAAACCCAGTTGATGTTTGTCGCGTTTGTAGCGCCATGATGCTGCTGAGGGTCGATTTGACATCAATGACTGAGCTTGATTTTGGGGCCTGGGCCTCCTTGACCCATAGAAGATCATAGAAGCATTTGCTGAACCCCGCCCTAGCCGTGCCACACAGTTTTGATGCCTTGAATTGCCTTTGCTTTGTCATCCAGCTAGTCCCCTCCAGCTAGTCCTCTCCACCTGTTGAGATCTCCCGAGCCGTCGCCAGGTGAGCTCATGGTCTTCGATGACGGCTCGATGACCGCGGACAAAGCACAGTCGAGCGCCATGAGTGGCTTGGAGGTGAAAACTGCGCCGCTGCGGCCGCAGAACGCCCCGCGCGTTGGAGCCGTAGCACGACCATTCGCCGCCAGGCCCAGCTGCGTCTGGGTCTTTCGGCGGGTGAGCACCAACCTCCTGAAGCTCTTTAAGGGAAAGCGAGCCGGGGGATGGTGCAAGCTCACTGATGCGAAGGCGTTTGGAGACTGCCTTGCTTTTGGACAGATCGCACCAGGGATGTCCTAACCAGGAACGTTAAGGTGATCAGACGCCCAGGGTGGGCCATGCGCCACGCGTTTGGAGGTTTTCCATGGTTTTCCCGGCTCAAGATTGGTTCCTCGTTCCTTTGCGGGCGCAGCCGGTTCTTCCTGATCGCTATGGAGCGTGTCAACCGCCTAGCAGCCCATGTGTGCCCACTGTCGCCACAGCCGGTGGCAGGGACGGGAATTTTGGAGTTGATGAAGGCGAATGGGGAGCATTTGGATGTTGGGATTTGGGTTTAATGACAATCAAACAAAGAATCATCAGCAAAAATCAAGAATGATCATAAAACAAGGAATCATCAACAAAAATGTAACATAATGCAACAGGTCCTGCTGCATGTCGGCGAACGAACGGACGATGCAACGAACCAAGTGGAATGTCCACAAACATCCTGAAACATTCCAACTTCACCCCAAGACTCAGTTGGAGACTTATGTCATCCGCTCACATCCCCGACCTCAGGTGGATCCGGCCGATCCATAGGGTATCTCGGAGTCTGAAAGGAAGCCCAAGATGATCCAAGAGGTTTTTGTTAAATACTATGTTTCGTGTACTGTGCGCACTACTAGGCAGTGACTAGGCGGACATGGAAATGGGAGGAAAATAAACTATATTATATATCGTATCCTTGGCCACTTCGGTGACTCCACCTCCAAGTTAAATAGGGACATTCAAGCTGATGTGTTGCATGACTGCACGAGAAGACCAAGTTGCATCTATATATATATATATGTCCAATGCCGCCCAAGCCATGTCGTGGATGATCTATGTGCCAGAATTGCATAGAATTGCTACAAACCTGTTTGTAACCATGTGGCATCTTTAGTTCTTTCGGACGCCCGGTGTCTTTGATATGTTTAAGTTAAACCCCATCTCTCCAGCCCGTGATCACCGTCTTGCCGCGCCGCAGACAAAGATCGCCAAGCTCGCGAAGGAGAAGGCTGCCTTGAAGGCTGACTTGTTGAAGAACCACGGTGAGCGAGCCTTGCCTTGGTCAAATGGAAGAATCGATGATGGCATAGCGAGTTCGGATGACCGTTTGCATACCAAACAGGTGGTGAACAATGGGTCATTTCTTCGTGTTGAGACACTTCCTGGAACGAAGTGGAGAGTTGGGCCCCAGGGTCGTTGAGCATGGACCGCCATAGATATTCGATGACCATAACGAGGTGGTGAACTCCATGATGATTCCAGGGAGTCAGATGTTCAGTTCCAGTTTCAGTTCCCTCCGCCTCACCCTAAAACTTGGCTTCGTTGGGGTGTGTCTACCCCACCCCACCCTTCGCCGTCTTCCGTCCCTTCTCCCAGTCTTGGCAGCCAAGCCACATGGAGTCATGGAGGGCCTCTCTTCCCACTGGAGAAGGCCATGTGAGGGATCCCTCGCTTCCAGTGCGGCCTCTTCTTCTCTTCAGTCTTGGATCTTCCCTCGCTTCGTCTTCCGGAGCTGCCGCTGAGGGAAGATCCAAGATGTGACGGTGGAGATGGCCATCAACGGCGCTCGAGCCATCAAGTTCCGAGTCGTCAGATCAGTGCGGGTGCAGACGACGTGACGCTTCCCGGGTGCACCAAGCACCGGACATTGGCCCCATTCAAGTAGCGAAGACTTGAAGAGAAGGTTTCAGGATTTGGGATGATTGGGGGGTTATATCATGTTTGTTCAACAACATTCAATTCAACATCTAACATAGACACGCAGAGAATTATCATGAATTATCATTCATCATCATCATCATCATTCTTTCTGCGATTTGGCCAAACCGTAAGGATTTGACCATATGAAACACTATGTCTTCGTCAATATGACCATGTTTGACCAACCCCGGACTGCAGCAACACACTGTAGCAACCTCTCCATGTCGTGTGCCGTTTGCAAACCGGCGCTTCAGGCTCCCTCGGTGTGTCACCGGTTCGACGCACAGTTCCGGTTTGCGGGGACGGACAGGTCGATGGTCACAGAGACTTCGGACTTGGACGCCAACAAGGGCATTGCTTATCGACATTTGTCGCTGTATGACGCCTGGAAGGTAACGGGTTGGTGGGGATGGGATTTGTTTTTTGGATGGGGAGGATGCTTTTTTGGTAGGGAGTCTGAAGGATTCAAGTGGTGGGAGGTGTGGAGGGAGGTGGGTGAGATGGGCATGAGTTTGATCAATCATGCAAGGGGACCAGTGCTTTTTTGTAGATGAACCAACCCAGAAGCGCCACAACTTGTGGGGTCTGAGGGGGTGAAGAACATCTCGGAGGAGGCTGATGTCTTGATTCATGTTGGAGCTGTATTTTCTGTGTGTGTGTGCTTTCTTCGGCGCCAAGAGAAGCAGAGATGCTATACTGAAGATGGATTTAACATGATTAAAACAATAGATATTGATATAGTACGTAGTATTTATTGATTAGATAGATCAGACAGCTATTATGGCGTCATGGGACACCAGGAGTGTTTTTTACGCCCCCCAAAAGTATGAAGTTCTTTGCCTTTGGTCCAGCCGCTAGCCCGGATGCACACCGAACCAGAGGTGGCCCCTGGACCGATGGCGCCACGCCTAGGAAGTCAACACGAAGCTGCCGAAAGCACCAGGCCCGCTGGCGCGGGGGTGGTGGAAAACTATAGTCATGCTTCCTTCCTTAGGCGCCGGGACCTGGAGTGGAGTGGCGCAAAGGCCCCAGAAAAACGGTTTTGGAAGAGAGGATTCTTAGGAAATTCATGTCGACTGGCTTGTTTTGATCTCTCATTCAAGAAGAAGCCAGTCACCTCAGGCACCTCAAGTTCTTCCAAGACACAACTGCTTTCGGCCAAGAAGACCTCCTTCTCCGTTTTTTGAGCCAAAAAGACCAACGGATTTCGGCCCGACTCCCCGACCTCCCCCCCGTGGGCAGGGGGCAGCGTGGCCTTGCCGGAGGGCGCCTTTTGGCTGCTGGTCACAGGTGAGGAGCCCTCCGCTGAGGAGGTCAAGGGCATGACTGAGGCGCCGCAGGGAGAGGGGAGCGGGAGAGGTGCGGAGAGAGATGTTGAGAGACTTGTGGTGTGTTTTAGGCATTTTGTTGCGGGGAGGTTGAATGACAATGGGCGAGTCATTAAATGTTAAGCATGAATCATTGATTTGATTTATAGTCATGGTAGTGATGGGAACTGCGGGCTCTAGGGATACCTGCAGCATCTAATGGGTCATCAGTGCATTTGCCGTCCGATAAAGATCCAGCATGGGAGCTGTTGCAGTGGCCAGCTACAAAGAGGCAAACACAGGCACTGTATACCAATTTGAGACTAGCCCAGAGTCAGGTCGAAACAAAGGTTCCAAAAATCCGACTCAAACCCTTTGTCTTCCTGAAGTCCCTTGTTCTCCGAATCACTGCCCTTGTGAGGGCCTTGTTGGCCCTGCAGGGGGGTGTGGAAAAATCAGACAGTGCGATTCCTTTCTGCAGTCAATGTGCCGGTCATTCTTTAAGTCACAACCATGGTTCTTTCATTTCCACAATGCTCGATCCATCGGATCTGTACCCGATAGGGGCATCCTATTGCCCTCAAAGCGCCGTCCTTCATCGCAGGAGCTCCACAAGCGCGCGACGATCCCTGCGAACGTCATGACGACCATCGATTCGTTGCCCAAAGAGACTCACCCGATGACTCAGCTCTCAGCCCCATGACGACGCAACGAAAGAGATCTGTGCAGTCTTCGGCCCCATGAAAGGGCCGTACGTCGAAGGAAAGAGAGACGTACTGGATCTATAACAAAAGAGACCCGATCTATAACAGCTACCCAACCTGTTTTAGAGGTGTACTTTTCGCCAGTTGGATGTTGGCTGTATGTCGGCTGTGTGCAAACCTCCTTACTTGTGGCAGGCAAATGCTAGAAACAAATACCTGCAGTACACGGGATACACTGACTTGACAATTGGTCCGAAGTGAGTTTTGGAGTCCATGTGCAATGCTGAAGCTGTTACATAATATGTTTTCGTGCAAGAACTTGCATGTTGAAGAGAAAACTCAGTGGTTTCAGCCAAAGCAACTTCGTTTACACATGGACCCGTGCATGAAACCATGGAAACCGAGCGGGACGCACCAATGCACTCGGTGATGAGGTCGCTATGTTGGCCTTGCAAAAGGACTCCAAGTTTTTCAAGAAGTATCAGGAGCGGAAATCTGCGCGTCAGCTGAGCCTAGGGCTACTAGGGCAGTTTTCGGGCAGCTGGGGCACAAAAGCAGGGAGAGATTTGCAGAGCTGAGTTGCAAAGCCTGAACATGGACCATGGAGATGTTAAAACCTAAGCCTGTGGGCCATGACCTGTCTCATGAGATGGCCGTCTCAGTGTACTCAGTAGGCTGATCCTGGCCTGTGCGAGCCGTTTGAGAACTGGCCGTTCTTGCGACACCTTCGCGGTCCCATCAAAGCTTCAAACATCCAAAGATCGGACTTTCGCGCTTGAGAGCTAGACTCATGTTATTTGCCTTTGGCAACTTGGTTGCCTTGTTTTGTGTATGGTTGAATACCGTGGTTGATCGCAGCCTGCATGGCTGTCAGCCTGGAGGTGGGTATAGAAAGACTGAACATTGTAGAACTGTAAAGTTGGTTGGATCTGTCACCCAAAGTCAATGCACAAAGTACGCATCGTTTTTTACTTTTGACTTCTTTGGGGGGTCCATTGCAACGCAATGCGGTTGCTTACACAAAATGTGGTTGGTTACACAACATGATGCGACACATCACCACTTGCTGAACAGTAAACCCAGCTCACCCCACAAATGGTGGTTTGAACACAGGCATAAATAATTAATCATAATATCTAGGCAGCCTGGTCGACAGTAACAGACAGAAGACGGTTTACCAACAGATGTTAAGAATTGCAGGCAGCTGCTCCTGGGTCGGATTTCTATAGGGAATTCTTGGCAGCAAGGCTTTTGCACATACACAAAGTGACTTGGACAGATAGCGACACCTCTATTGTTGATGATGTGTCCAAAAAGCACGAGATAAATCTCACGATATGTCCCTTTGACATCGGATCATACCGGATCCATGCCAAATTGCTGTGCCTTCCCCCAAAAAGACCTACTTTTTTCCAGTCAGATCGCAGACATTTGTCATCCTCTGAATCCGAATCCGTCCTCCTCGCGCTGCGCCCAACAACGCGACGCGTGCCAGGAGGGCATGAAGAAGGATGACTATTGGTCCTACGCCCTGGAGGATTGCCTCGATGTGGTCGCCAAGGTCCCCATCATCGCGGCCAAGATCTACCGACGCACCTTCCACGATGGGAAGCTCCCAGAGCAGCTTGATGGACGCGGCGCGCGCGTCAGCGCGCGCGCGCGCATTTCGCGCTCAAACGGCGCGGGGCAGGTGTTTGGTGGCGGGTGCCCGGTGGTGGGGAGTTTGGCACTTCTGCAGATTGTATATGTGCTTTTCAATAGGGATCCACCCAGCCAGTGCTTTTGGTCTATGTTCCTTCTTCCAGGGGGTCTTTGGGTGGTCTCCCTTTTGTGATGCACACCGCGCACGCATAGGGTGTGGCCCAGCAAACCAGAAACAGTCCGGGCAAAAGATTCGATGGAGATGCCGACCTGCAACCAGGCCCCATCATCCACAGTGAGTTGCGTGCTTCGCACGTGGAAGAATTGGGGGACGCCACTTGGGGAGGCCTTGACCCATCCCCGGACCCAATGGACCCAAGGTACGACCCCAAATTGGACTGGGCCGCCAACTTCGCGCAGATGTTGGGCATCAACCAGAGTGAGGATTTCAAGGCAAGGCAACGGGCGATGTGACCGTTTGGTGTCGGTTCGGTTGTTGGTGCTCTTTATATGGCAAATGACCACAATAAGACCACCCGTATTGTGTTTTGATATGATGTTCTTAAGCTCTTTACACCTACAACATGTCCAAATCGACATCGTGCCATGTCAGGAAGCCATGCGCCTCTATTTGATGCTTCATGCAGACCACGAGGGAGGGCAGCTCGACCGCGTGTGTTTTGCATCACCGATTCAAATGGCTTGGATTCCAAGTCTTTGGTGGGTGTTATTCTTATATAGTTAGTTAGTTCCAAATGACATGCTGCATAATAACACCGAGCCAATGACAATACCACCAAGCAAGCCATTCTTTAAAGCCAAGTTAGTTCCAAGATGTTCCAAGCCAAGTCTTTAGTTCCATGCACTTTGACACTTTGAACCAAATCATTGTTTGAAGCGCGCAGGACCAGCGTTCAGGTTTACAGAATGACTGTAGGCTGTTCCTCGAGAGTCTACAGGAGTGTAACTTGAGAGGCGACCATGCATGATCTCACGCAGATGCATTTGTGGACCTTATCACAAATGCAATCCTCGAGTAGCAAGTGCCTAGTTTCAGGGAAATTGCAGGCTGAGGCCCGTGCAAAGGTACAAGGTTTGCAAAACCCTAGTGTGCGTGTCAGGCGCTTGTGAGATGCGACGCTTTTGCAGAACAAGTTTTTGAATTTGTCACTGTCCGTGTGGCTGCTCTGTTGAGCGCGCGCCCTGGTGGCCACCCCATGAAACCCCTCAAACGACTGGAGCGACGGCCCTTCCTAAAGGAAAGCGGGAAGTTGGAGTTGGGAAAGGGCCCGGAGGGCGCGCTAGAGGGCGGATTTCTTGAGGGCATTGCCTACCCTATGGATCCACATACCTTCTGAGAAGGTGGTTGGAGATTATGTATGTAGGCTTGGAGGGTCCAATTACCTTCTGAGATTGCAAAACAAGTATGTGAAAATCCGTCAATCGTGGGAGGTGACTCCGAGTGTCCTTACACACCGTGTCCAGCGGTGAACAGTGAACAGGCCACCTGAGACAACTGATGTTACAGACGAAGGCAGGCATTCTCGCACATAGGCCAGCTTGCTGGAAATTAGCTGAGCAAGTTGTTGCAGAACTGAGTCGGCTATCACATGAACGACCAGAACAACATGCTGTGTGCATAGAAGGAGATGTGCTAATATGTAGGAAATGTGATCGCTGGTGGTTTGCGCAGGCCTCGTCCAAAGTTTTGCGTCAACTAGGAGGTGAGAGATGTAGAGCTCAACCTCGCCTGTCGGCTTATTTTCCACAAAAACCTTGAGCTCATTGGACATGTGTGTAGGCACACTCGACTTTGCTTGGTTTGGATCGCCATTTTGAGGTGACGAAGGTGCTCAGGTACTAAGACCCACCGGTGACTCCCTTTCGTGCTTACGCATTCATCAAGAGCACAAGGATGCGTAGAAAGGTGAACGTAGAAAGGAAGTCAATTACTGTAAGCTTTCTTACATAGTTCAATGCAGTATGTCCATCTGTGAACAATAAACCGGGGACCCCCTAAATTGCCCCTTCGACAACTCCAAAAGTTGTTCTGATTTTAAGGACAATAGTTTTTGTGGGAAAATGTGTTGGATAGTTTCATTGGAGGAGTATTCAATAATGAGTATTTAATGTGTTTCATTCTGGGTTAGTTGATGAATCCCAGGTCAACATGTTCCCCCCTGTGCTTGGAGGATGCCCTGTGCTATCCACTCACCAGATGGATTATCCGTCCATTCATACCCACGCACGCGTGTCACACCTCTACCGCCCTACCTTTCGTCGTTTTTCGCGCAACCTCTGTGGGTAGACCGAGTTCGCTCTTACCAACACTTAGAAGAGAGCGAACTTTCAGAGCACATTTCGGTGCTCATCCGTTTAGCAATTAGACCTGTCTATGCTTACCGCCCTACTCTGGCTGATCCAACCGTGACTGGCCCGACACTTCTTGTTCCACCGATCACCGTAGGTTCCACCGTGACCACCGATCACGTCGTCCCAAGGAACGTCTCGGCCCACGCCACACATTTGGTGGGCTCCGCTTTAAGCGATCCGTACTACGCCTGGGCCGCGGGCCTCTGTGGCCTGGCCGGTCCCCTCCATGGCCTCGCCAACCAGGCGGGAAAAACCCGAAGGAAGACGGAAGGGCAGGGTGGGTAGGTAGGATCGTAGGGTAGGTTGCTGAAGGGTGGACGGAAAGACAGGATGGTGGAATGAGGAAAGATGTTGGAAAGAGTGATTATACATGATTTGACACCATTTGTACATATACGATTTGATACGATTTGTATATACATATGATATAATATGTATATATATATATATACAAATGGTATCAAATCGTGTACACGTGTGTGTTGTGTGCATGTTTAGCCGGACTGGAGGCATCGCAAGGACGTTCATGTTTCGGGTTCCGAATGAGTGAAGATGATGTGAGGCAGCGAAAGGTTTGATGACATAGGACCGTGCATAGGGACCGTAGGGTACCTGTGCAGAGCTTCCAATATCAATATCATGTTCATCGAATGCAGGTGGCCGCAGGCACGCACGGAACAGCACACCCGTTGTTCAATTGTGACGAACCAAGCGGCAGGAGTGCTTGTCCTGGCTTTTGGACGTCCAGAAGCAGCTGGGGGGTCAGAAGCCCACCAAGGAGAGATGGGCATTGTCCAAGATGTTTGGGTTGTGCCAGGATGCGCCAAAGGCATTAGACATCCAGAGACCACGTGATGGGAGGGCTGTAGTAGAGGCAAGGAAGGGTTTCTTCCAATAACTTCCAACCCCTGGCTTGGCCATGGCGCTTTCAGGTCTCCAATTGTGCACTGCCTGGCTGTTGAAGAACAGTTGTTCGGAGGTGTCAGTGTTCACTTTCGCGTTCGTCCGGTTAGGCTCGTTGTCTTTGGAAACTCGAGTCATTCAGAGGATTTGATGACCGATTTCGCCAACAAGACCCTGAAGGAGGGTAAGGCCTGGGCTTTGTTGTGGAGTGGGGGCTTCGTGGCCACAACCCAGGAATCGTGGAACTCCAGAAGAGCATAGGATGGATAGTATGGAATATAATGGAAGTATTATCCGGTCGTCCAAAGTGGCTCAAGGAACAACCATCCATCCTGGAGCAGCACGGATCACATTGTCCACCCTGCACTCAAACAGACATATCTCAAAATCACCTCCAATTCTGGCTTGGGTTCGTCACATCATCCAGTGATTTTTTACTCAAATACCTCTGGCCATTCATCGGATTCATCTATATCGGACACCAAAAAACGGACCGCACCCGGTCACCACACGGCAGGTGATCCCCGGCTTCGGCCATGCGGTGCTGCGGAACACCGACCCCCGCTACATGCCACTTGGAGCGGTCCGGATCGGTCCGCACCGGGTGGGGCAGTGAGGGGTCGCCCGGTGGGGCGAACAGGAGGGGGATGCTGGTCGGGTGGTTCGGAGGGAAGAGATGCTCATTGGATGAGCGTGTTTGTTGCCAGGCCTCCCCAACTCAACATGTGAGCGTAGATGGTCATTGCAAGTGGGGGACCTCGTGTTTTCACCGGGATCTCGTGGCACTTCGAATACCTCAAACGCTTTGGGTGTGCATCTGTACCCAGCAGCTGTACCCCGCTGCTGGCTTCCCAAACCCTCGAAGCTTAAGGTTTCCCTTGTTCAACTCAATGAAGCTTGAGGTTGGAGCGTGAGTTTGCCTTGAAGCATTGCACGGAAGACCCATTGTTTCAGCTGGTGGATTCTTGCTATCAAGCTATCCCTCCAGTGCTGCTGAAGTACCTTGGCGTGGACGACCGCTGCTGATATTTTTGTCCATTGCACGGTTTTTTGGGGGTGTTGGAGGTTACACTGGTTTATACTGGTTTCATGGGATGACCTATTTGTATCCAAACACCATTCAAAAGACTCTTTTCCTTCAACCTTTCGAGCATGCTGTCCGACATTTGATGTGCTGAATGATGACGGACTTGGGTGACCTCATGATGGAATTGGGTTCTTTGGGTAGTCAGTGTAGTAGGTTCTCCCCCAGGTACCTACCAATGATTGACGTTTGATGATGTTTGCTGGTATTTGCTGAGCATTTCTTGAGGTCTGGCACTTGTTTTGGAGTTCCTGTGGAGTGCCAATCTAGGGGGAGAGACACGGAGAGAGAGAGAGAGAGAGAGAGAGATATTGAAGGTGATCATCATCCACATTCTTGAAATGTGCACATGTGCTTAGGAGTTCTTGGCCAAAAAGGATAAGTTACAGCAGTTTACAGTACAGGGATTCAAGATTCAAGGATCCTCAGAAAAGTTCTTCCAAAAATATTGAATCCTTTATGTAAAGTGTGTGGCCAAATGAAAGATGTATATATATGTAATTGGAACATTTTTGAACAAACGTATGATAGGGACTGGATTCAAGCTGCAAGATGTGTTGGCAAACGGTTCAGGGGCTCTTCTTTTATATAATCCAACACAATATGTGGGAACATCTTCTTGGACAAAAAGCTCAGAGACATGATGTCAATCAACTTGCCAAATGCCTGCATCCCTCTCAGTTGCAAAAAAGGCCACCACCAGCTGATAAAGGCCACCACCAGCTGATAAGCTAAATATCAAATAAACAAGATTAAATATAATGGATATGGCTGTGAAGGGCACCAAAGCAACGGTCTTTGTACAGCAGTCCATTGCCAAATCTGCTTTGCCATGTCACTATTTCAACTTGAAAATCATGGAATACAAAGACTAAAGGGCTACCAGGCTACCCGCTAACTGAGGAACTATGATGAACTAGACAGTATGCAAACAAGGAGCAATTAATACTGCAAGGATGTTTGCTAGACTGCTTGCAGCCGCTCTTCTGAAAGAGGAGGAACACATGTTTTTTTCTTAATGCAGTTGGCCAATGGTAGCAAACTGTACAAAACAAACAAACACTGACTTTAGACATTCGCCATTGGTGCAGCCGCCTGCACCGGTTTCGGCAGGTTGATCAATTGAAGATGTGAAAAACATATGGCATCTACTTAGGGGTTGCAGAAGCCTGCAGAAGGTCACGATGTCACCAGGTCACGACCAAGGTCACGCACCTCGCGAGGTCAGACCGAAAGGACGATGAGTCATCCTGAGGTCGGATCTACGAGTAGATCTTGAGAGAGAGGATGTTGTTTTCACTTGTGGTGACCCAGACAGTATTATTCAATATCTACAGATATCTATCTATACTCGTACCGTATATATATATATATAGATGCCACCCTTGTCCTTTTGCCTTGGGAAGGCTCATGGGCTCACCCAACGATTGCAGCTTATCCCATTTTTCATGGATTATTTTGTTTGTTCTTGCGAGGTTTCATGAGGTTTCTGTTGATAGCTATTTCGCACTGAACCTGAGAACCTGACCCGCTGTCGTGTCAGATTCCCAAGACCCAAGACCGTGTCACTGACATGCCTTTTTGTGGCGCTCTAAGGCAGGGGAAGGTGAAGAACCCGTTTCCCAATGTGGATGCGCACTCGGGGCAGCTCATGCATTTCTATAACCTCAAAGAGCAGAATTTCTACACCGCCTCTCGGACTTTGCCACACCGCAGAGATGTTTCGCTCCCTTGGAATTCGCAAAAACAGGCAAACCTACTATATACAATCACAGACCCAGTTTGACTTCTTCGTCTCAGGGAACATCGATCATTGTCGATCCATCATGATCTACCGATCTATTTCAATCATCGTCGATCCTCCCGGTCCTCCCGGTCCACACCGACCCGGTCCGCTCGCGCGCGCGGACGTCTTCGCGGCACCGGTGCCCAGGTGGTCTTCGCTGTGTCACGGACCTTAGGCGTCATGGCGCAGTACATTTGGTCCAGGGCCGTGAGCCTTCCCATTGAGCGGCCCAAGTGACTCGGATAGAGCCGGCCAGACGCTCGCAGCGGGTGCGGGGTGCGGGGGGTGCGGGGAGATGTCTATCAGTGAGAGGGGGGGATGAGGTGATGGAGTCAAAGCCCTATAGGGTTTCCCTCTCACTTCTCCAACTTCCGAGCTGGGTGGCCCCCTTTTTTATCCGCAAAAAGCGAAAGAAGGAACTAAAAGGTTTCTGAGCAGTGGGTTCCCAAGAATCACCTGAGGTCCCTCCCCTTAGATGAGCTCATGATCCTTGCGAAGAAGCACCGTTGGCAGCGGGAGAAGGGCAAGGTCTCCGACCAGCAGTGAGTGGCCGTTGAGCCGCGGCGATTCCGGCGATTCCGCTCGGGCGTGACGGCGGAGCGATGTCTCAGAGAATGGACCACGTGTGTTAAAGCAGCGAACCGGTGGCATGAACCTGTCTGGTCTTCATGTTGGGCAAGCGAGAAACGACCATGGACAAAACATCATTCTATACGCATCCCGAAAATGCAAGTCCAAATCACATCCAAAAGGGAACTGCCTTCTGTTGGGGGCTGAACAGAAAGACTGTGTATACGGTGGCTTTGGTTACTGCGCAACATTTGGCCTCGAACGCACTTCAAACATCTTCAAACGGTGTTTGGTGCACGACTCTCCCCAGTTGGAGATGTGCCCCGTAGCAAATTGCAACGGGGTTTTGTTTATAATTATGCTCCCAAGCCGTATGTGTCAAGTGCCCAAAAGATTTCCCTCTCAAAATGACACTGAGGCTTGCTCACAAGACGGCCCAGCTCAGTATGTGTTTTTCTTGTTGAGGGTGGTTTGATGACGATTCAAGCAAGCCTCCCCCACTGACATGACAAATTGTACCCATTGCAGTCACGCCTTCTAACGGGTCATGACTTTCGTCTTGACTGATTGGCTTGATCAATGGCAGCAGATGGTGGAGCCTCTGTGCCTGATCACAGTGATTTTAAAGAACACGCTGTGACATCAGGCACAATTTTGGCAAGAAAAGGTCCCAGTTCAGTGAGGACAGGATATTACAATTTCGTTTGTCGGCCTTTCTCATCACAGTTGTTGGGTGATTGTTGCTCGTTACAGAATCAGGGCACGCAGGTGCATCCATGCATATAAATTATTTGGTTAGAGCATGTGTGATTAATCCTTATGAATCCCAAAAAAGGCTATACATTGGAACGGGTTTTGCCAACTGTTAACACCACATAAAACCACGGAACCCTAAGAAAACCTTCCAAGGGATCTCCAAGAGGTTCAGGAATGGCGTCCAACCCCCTTTGACGCGCCATCAAGAAGAAGACACATCTCAGGTCTGGTCATCAACTACGCCGACCCGGCGACGGCTGCGGGCACCGCTGTGCTCGGCTTGGGCTTGGTGGTGCTGCCCTTGTTGAGTGGCTCGGCGGAGATGGATCGAAGGAAGAGCACGGGGAGAGCTGGCAGCGAAGCTGCTGGCAGCGTTGTTTGAGAAAAACTTGGTGGGTTGGAAAAGATGGGAAGGATGGAGAGGTGTAGAAGAATCGAAGAGTGTTTCGAGATCACCTTAGGCCATCCTTGGCCCCAGTGGGTGGTCTGCGTTGAAGCAACAGATCAAAGGAAAAGAGCATTTGTTGATTTAGAGGGAGGATTCAACGCAGATGTCCGAGAGCAAATGGTCAGCTTGCAGACCACAGGGCCCTTCATGTCGTAGCGGATCTTTGCCATCTCAACGGAAGCGATTTGGCGACCAAGAATGCCATGGGAGGAAGAACAAGAAGCTTGTGTGACCAGTTTTGTCTCAACATGAGGCCACAACATGTGCATTTTTGTCCATTGCAGAAGTCAGAATGTTGACAAGCCAATCATCCATATTGTGCATCATTCTCCACCTAAGAACATGTTTGGTATCAAGCGCGGGGCCGATCACCATTGCATCAAGGCAAACTCAATCAGATTCAAGCTGAAGAGACCTTCCAGTACAAATACCATGGAGAGACGCCTCTTGGTCAAAAGTGGATGGACTCACATCCTTTTTGGTCCCGTCGCATCCTCCTGCTGTTCGTAGATGGTAGTGTACAGATTCTTTTCATTTGGTTTCTGACCTCTTTCTAGGCTATCGGTGTCACCGGAGTCAGTCCCACCCAAGCCGGGAAGGGGAGTGTGGGCGCGAGCGACAGTCCGCAAGTGCGTGCATCCTTTTTGGTCCCGTTTAAACGGGATTTGCAGATTCTGACCTGGACTTGATGGGCTTTTCATGGTTTTTCAGATACTGACTTGGTTGTGCTAGCGTTCTGTGAACTTCCAGCACTGACAGCTCACAACACCCTAATTCCTTAGATTCTCACTGATTCTCATGCGCCTTTTCACCCGAACAGTTCAATCCCAATTCCTCACCGCTTCCGCTGATCTCGACCCCTTCAGGAATCCCAGGCAGCCCTTGCGGCTCTTCACTGAGTCCGAGCTGCGGCAGCGGCTGGGGAGCCTGGACGCCCATTGCGTGGCCAAGGAGATCGTCATGAGCACCGAAGAGCTGGACGAACACATGGAGGCGGACGCAGCGTCGACGACGCATTCGACGGACCGAAGCGACCGCGGTGGTGCCTCCGCCGCGGTGTTCAGGGAGTTGGACCGGAAGAACGATGAGGGAACGATGCCAGGGTGAACGGAAGAACAAGGAACACTGAGGTTTGTCGCCCAGAGGTTATTTTGGGAAGCGAGCCTTCTTTTGCTGCAAACCATTGCAAACCCTCTTTTGCTTTGACACCGTGGTTTACTTCTATATATTTTGAAAAACAATAGCCGCCGTTTTGTGCTTTGCTCGATCTGCGAGCGTTGCGCAGGCATCCAGCATGGAGGAGACGGACGATGAGGCCGACAAATAATTTGCTGCAAACAAAAAAGTGAAGTGGATCATAAGTAGACTATCTAGAGTTATTAAGAGTCTAGAGATTAGTGCATCATCAACATCCAGAGGGACCCTCATTCTTCTTTGGTGAGATTTTTCAGCTTCTTCCTCCACATTCAGATTTCCATGAATCGAAGCACCGATGGCAGGTGGGACGGATCCAGAAGTGGCGGGACTCAGTGAATGGTCACTTGCGGAGCTTGCAGAAGCGCTCGGCACTGGCATTTTTGGGGTTGCCACCGGACTCCAGCATGAATGCGTCTCAGCTGACCCAATGTCAGGGTGCATTTTCCCTTGTTGTCTTCTCCTTTCGGAGATATAGTATAACTACTGAGCTTGGAGAGCAACTTCGATTAATTATCCTATAACGTTTTACTTGGGCTCTATATCACTACGCCTAAAAAAGAGCTTCTCATGCGGGCAGCCGGACTAGAGGCTTCCAGACCTTGAATCATCGGCTGAGGCCAGCTGGAGGACACTTGGGCCCCACTGTAGGAGTGGAACCTCTAATCAATGTAGACTCCTGGCTCAAAAAAAACGCACAATAAAGAGGATTTGCAATCCAAAGGCAATGTTTTTTTTTGTGTGTGTTTGGCTGAGGACATCAATGCAGTGTACAAGAAGATGGCACTGGAGCTACATCCGGACAAAGGGGGCGACCCTGAGAAGTTCCAAGAGTTGCAGGAGATGAAGGACGTTATACGCCCAGTCCGCGCGTGAGCGGACTGGCCGATGTGTTCGGGGTCGATCAGATGTGAGGAGAGTGGAAAGAGACCAGAAGGTTTTTATAGTCAAGATTCTACATATTTCTACATGTTTATATAACTAATTCTATTTATATAGTATTTATGTAGTTCAAACTGTCCACAGCAGCGATGAATGACATGCGTGTGATGTTCGTGTCTTTCACCTCTCGCGGTGACTGACCAACGACAGGAGCGGCTCACAGAGATCGAGAAAGAAGAAGAAAATCCTGACGCTTCGACGAGTGAAGGGACCAGGTGATGAAGGGGCCAGACCGAGTGAAGGGTCCAAGCATTCGCACTCCAAGAAGGTGATGTAACGCAGGAATGGGCCCCATTGGAGCTATGGGGAGTACAGTAGGTTGATGATGTAAAAGCAACTGCCTGAAAAGTGTAATGTATTTGGAATTGAGGTGCCAGGTAGGAGACGGGCCAGAAACTAAGGATGGAAAGAAAGAGAACGAAGACGATCCAGAAGAAGAGGAGCGAGTTCTTAACGCTCTAATTCCTATTCTGTGAGCATGTTCTTTAAAGCCTGCATGAGCCAGCATGGAATGAGATGGTTTGCATGCACCACACCACGGCAACAGAGCTACCAGTAGCCTCCTTCCTTAGTTGAACTTTGCGTAGCAGGAGGCGAAGAAGCAGAAAGAGAAGGAAGAAGAGGAAGAGAAGAACCGCGGCCTGGCAGCACTTTTCCTCCACCCTTACAGCCTGTGTATATTGGTAGAGTTGGTCTTTGGGCTTAAGGGCTGGCACTTGGGGTTGCAAGACTCTTGCCTGAGGCTTGCCCCCCAACGAGCGAGTGAAGAAGCTTCGCATGGAGGTACATGACAACACAGTGCGCCTGTGGGAAAAGGCCAAGAAGTCCAGAGATGAGATCGTGGGTGAAAAGGCCTTGATGCTTGGTTGCACCTTTGCACATGCTTGATGTTCGTTTTTTGCTTGAGCCTGTGCCCACCTAATGTTACTAGCATCCCAGATTCCTAGCAACCCCGCTCAAAACAACCTCAATCGGATTCAATCCGTTCATCCACTGGTCCATCTCAATTCTTGCCGCCGCACCGGTTGGAGCACAGCGGAGGAAGACCAACGCACAGCCGGCTCTCAACATCCTGCGGCTCTTCGTCGACCGCTTCGTGGCCAGCGAGATCAAGACGCTGCGCCACTGGGATTGTTGAGCAGATTGGTGGGAGTTGGTGCGAGAATGTCCCATTTGTTTAAACAGGTGGTGCCGATATTGGATTCGGCTTAAACAGGCCAAAGGCCTGTTTTCAATGGGTGTTCAGAGATTCCGATCGTTTGTGTGCTTCAGTGTTTCCTTGCATCTTACACTCACCTCGCAACACCGGCCCCCTTTATAATGCTTTAAATTGGCACTTAAGTGCATTTCACCAACACCGCCACTGTGTGTACCAAGGCCATGATGACACTCGAGGGGCCGAGGCCAAGTTGAGGAAGTTTCTCAAGCAGGGCGCCGAGATCTTGTGCGTCGCGGCATTGGCTGACGTCCAGGCAGGATGCATGGGTGAGTGATAGCAGCAGGAGGAGGAGTAATATTATTGATAAGACGGAAACTGGCACGACCTGGAACCACCAAAACACTTCAATCATGGTACCTTTTCCCATGGTGTGCCGAGAAGGTGCCAGACTGCCAGACTGCCACTCCTTCGTGCTCAGATCCTTTGTTGAAGCGAGAGTTAGGTGTTGATGCGCGCCTGCGCAGACTTGAATTCAAAGGTCAATGTTCATCAACTGCCACGTTTCCGGGTGGATGGGAGCCTCCCCCTCCATGACGGCGCATGAGAATCGAACGCAACACAAACGCAAACAATGACTATTATATAATTACTGGTTTTGTGGCAAGTTGCAAGTTGATCCTGGAAGACTTATTTGCTTTTATGACCTTTATGAGCGTTCCAGCAACAAAGCCAGGGTGGACCTGGCCAGGGGGTCAAGAGATCTCATTGGCATCGGTTGTCGCTGAGTCGGGATATGGCTACTGAGGCCACGCTCTCCACATTGGCCATGCACTTCAACTACCGCCTCATCGCACGGAGTGGCTCCCCAGAGCCTTGGGCGGGCTAAAAATCTGGGAGGACCACGTTCGCCCACAAATCAGCGACTAAAAGGCCCCAAGTGGGGCGATTCTCCGATGGTGTTGTTCTTTCAGATGGTGATAAAACTGCATGCCGTGAGTGCCAGGTGAAAGTCATTGTTCACGCTTGAACTTTCAAGTCAAGTGGGGGGGACGTTTGTTAGAGTGTACGCACCATTGATGCAAAGCGTGTAGTTCTCAGTCCTTAGAATCTACACTGATTTGTCAGGCCCCCAAGCCCTTTCCACCCTTTCCCAACCAATTTCGACTTTCTCACTGGAACTATCTCGAACTGGATTCAATGTATGCCCTTCAACACAAACCCAAACCATGAGCAAGGGCCAAACCCTTGGATTTGGGGTTTGGGTCACGTTTTGCTTGAGTGAGGACGATGCCGTTGGATTTGGGGTTTGGATCAAGATGTAAACCCCTCCACAAATCCAAGGGTATGGCCAAAACTCGATCAAAAAGGGCGTACATCCTGATCCAAACCCCAAACCCAAGGGTATGAATATCAATCAACCAAAAAGGGTTTAATCAAAACTAAACCCCAAATACAGCTCCGTAGACCGACAACATTAATTAGAAAGGGTTTATTTGCACAGATTAATACATTACTGTATATACACACCTTGCCGATCCCTCCTTTAACATATTTATTTGTGGATGCGTTTTGACGCATAGATTCTTCCTTTGCCCGCTGCGTCAGCTGGCCGACGGCCGTGCCGGGGAAGGGAGGCAATGCCTGGGCCGGGCCAGTCCTCGGGGGCCGGGGGTCAACGGTAGACCTGCAAAGCCGTTGATGAGACTCCAACTGTTTGCAGCAAACCTCCAGGGGGCTGCACCACCTGAGGAGATCAAGAACCGCTGTGCGGCGCTCCTGGAGGCCGTCGGTGAGGTGCCGCGGAACGTGGAGAGCTTCCTGCAACAGATGGAGGCCGATTTGGCAGATCAGAAGGACTGGGGAGAACATGGGGGAATAGTTTGGAACCATAAGATGGAAGGGATTGTTTCAAGGGTATGGGATGAAGAGATGGAACGGATGTGGTTTTTCTTGGGTCTGGGTTGGAAACAGCAGGTGTGCATGCAAAGAAAGAAAGAGACATGGTTGCAGTATGGAGATGAAATTGCATGAGTCTGTCCAGGTAGCTTTGTTAGGATGATTTGAGTGGAGCTCAGGGAGGCCAGGAACTTGCAACGCCAATTTCAAGTTTAATGGGGGTCTCCGACATGAATTGCACATGTTTGTTCGATGAATGGGATAGTGTGGTTGAATAGGTGATTTGTGGAAGCCTTTTGTGGCGCTCGTGACTGCTGGTGATTTTCCAGTTTTTATCATATCTAGATCTGGTCGATGCTCCCACGACAACTCGGCCGCCTGAGCGAGTCAGGGCTTCACCTGGATATACTCTTAGTTTCCAGCTAACACATGGATCCCCCAAACCCACTCAACAGGGAACCTCCATGTTCTTCTCCACCGACTGTGCGAAATGCAAAATGGCTTAGCGGGAATCCAGTATATGTTCGCTTGGGACCCACCTCAGAAGTCTTCCATTGTTGATGGGACGAATTTGTTGAAACCTCCATGCAAGAAACGAGAAAGACACACCTCACTGCCCCGACTCCCGGTTGTTTTTTTCTCGCTTTTCCGAAAACAGTAAGTTACTGTATAGTTCAATAGTTCTGATTCTTTAATCAACACCCTCCAACAAGTCTCCCATTTTCTTTCATGTTCTTTCTGACCAACCGTCCTGGTGACGTCCCGCCCCCAGGAGCGCGACCTGCGCCGCAAGGAGGAGCGCGCCGCCGCCCAGCGGCGCCGCGAGGCGCGCGGCGACTTCGGCGGCGATGCCGGGGAGACAACGGGAGCAGCGGCGCCGAAGGCGGAAGCGAAGGCAAAGGCCGGAGGGCGAGGGAGGTGATAGGGAGGATTTTGTTGTTCTAAGAGTCTAAGACTTGAGGTGATGTGATGTTCACCATGGGGTTGTGAGAAAGAAGGGAGATACAAGATGAACGGCGCAGGGTGTAGGCTCGTATAAGCTTTTCCAGGGCGTTGTGGGAACTTGTGAGCTTGGAAGTCTGCAAGTAGTTGGTGTATGAATGTGTATGATCATTTGCAAGTAGATGACTGGCAAGTGGATGGAAAGCTCCTACCAGTGACCTGCCCCCAACCATTGCACTTCACAGGCCAAGGCAGGGCCCAAGCCGGAGCCGAAAGCAGAGAAAGAGAGTGCCAAGGACTGGGATGGAGTGAAAGCCGGTGGCAGGTTGAAGGTTTTTCTTAAAAGCCGCTGGTGCTGGGGCTTATCCTTTGGATGTCTTGGATGTGGTGGGTTATCTTTTTTGTGTTTAAAGCGAAAGCCTTTCTGTTGATGGAAGACCGGCTGACACCAAGTAAGAGAAGTCCAGAATTCAGAGTGTGATCAAGGCTGGGGGTACTTGACGCCTGCGCCCGCCAACAGATTTTTTCCTTGCTTGGAGTCACATAATCATCATAATCACACAAGCACCAACCGGCAACCTGGTGCAGAAGGATAGCTGCGAGCGGAGTTATGAATCGGACAAGGAAGCAGAAGCAGAAGGTTTCAACTTATTATATATAGTTATACTGTGACTACCTGCGGCCCACTGACATGGAGCTTGAATATATCCTATGGGAAGATTAGTTCTCTCTACAAACTGGGTGGTTTCTACTTTATATCAATGAATCGGAGTGTGGTGTGGTTAGGTTTAATTTAAGGTTATTTTTGACTTTGCATTTGTATTGATGTCACATCAAGAGTACTTAGATGGCCCAATCTGTTTCAGATAGGATAAGGCTCCAAATGGCAAAACGCGCAACGGTCTTTTAGGAAAAGACAGTAAGGAACCTACTAGCCTTAGCCTACACCCTACTATAGCGATGGCCTCCACCCTACTAGCAGATTCATTTGGTTTCAACCAAGAATTGGCTTTGCGTCCCCAGCCCTCAGCTTTGGCCACGCCGAGTAGGATCCCACAGTGGTCATCCTCACCACGAGAGCATCACCACGAGAGTCTCTTATCGTTGGGCATCCTCGAGAAGTCAGAAGTCAGAGTCGGTGTGTTCCTGGCTTTGGCGGGGGTAGGGGGAACAACAAAAGGAGGCCATCGCTAGTAGGTCTCGAACTAACTTCCCCGATTTTATGCGGATCACCTGGTCAAGCACCCTGATCTGCGCTTCGACAGGAGACCGCTGCGCCGAAGGCGGCACTTGAAGCACCGGTGTGGTTGTTGCGTTTGAACGGGAATGGATGGTTCTTTCTTTTGGAGCGCTCCAGAATCTGCAACATCCATCAAAAACCTGCCAAAACCTGCCATCAGTAGATTGCGATGTTAAGAACATGTAGGACTTGGGGAGGCTCCCTGAAGTCTCAAGCTGCAGACGGCACGCTCAAGCTTAAAGCAGATTCAGGACAGCTGCATGGCCGCCATGGCGGCGTCCGCGATCATGAAGAACAGCAAGGCCTTGCAGTTCGACGTTCGCCTTCACGGTGATCCAGCCAAGCCCTGCGTGATTTCCATCGTGGGCACGGGTGCTTCAATGAACATGATGATGCCCATTGTCGAAGGCCTGGTGGCACGTGACCTGTTTGTTATCAACTATAACCCGCGTGATGTGTGCGGTACCGAGGTCTTTAAGCAGATGGAGGCAATGGTTCCTGAAGACAAGAATCTGATGGAGGAAATGGGAAAAGTCTTTTCGGCCACTGGAGGCATCAACTTGGACTCAGACTTCTATGCTCCCTACAATTGGTACGATTTAGCTGACGATGTAGCAGCCATCATGGATCACCACAACATAGCCAAAGCGAGTATCATCGGCTTCAGCACCGGAGGTGTCATTGCACAAGTCACGATGTGTAGGTTGAAGGATCGTCTCAATTCCGCGGTGATTTGCAGCAGCTCATACGAAGTGGTTCCATCACAGGCACCTTTTGAGAATCCAGCACTTCAGGAGGTGATGGCAGCAGCAGCGGCGGTTTCTCCCGAGTCAACCAAGGAAGACAGAGTGAAGGGTTTGTTGCCTTCGTTCATGTCAATGTTCGAGGTTGAGGAGGGAGACCCATGGCAGGCTGTACTGACCAAGGGAATTGAAGATGACCACGAGAAGGGATGGATGGACATTTACGGAGGAATGAATCCCTTCTCAACACTGGCTTGGGCAAGTACTGCAAAGTCACACGACCAGCACCTTTCCATGCTGGAGGAGAACCAAGTCCCCTGCCTTGTTGTTGCTGGCAAGAAGGATCCATTGGTTCCTTACGCACAGAGCGAAATGCTGGCAGCAAAGACGGGCAGAGCAACCTTGGAATCTCATGAGTATGGTCACATTTTAGGTCCTGCTTCCAGCAGAGCTGCCCTTCTTGACACAATTGCAGACTTCATTAAGGCTCATTCCAGTTGATGATCAAGACGATCACATCACTGGATGGGATTTTCCGAAAGCTGCTTCTTTTGCCAATCCGGGCCTGCCTGGTCCAAGTGTTTGTGTCTCACATCCACCTCGACTATCAGAGGCTGGAAGATTCACGCATGACTCCTACACAGAAAGTCCATCGCAAGTCTCCATCCAAGGAAGTGCGATGCAAAGTGCTTGTCATCTCGAGCTTGGTGCAAAGTTTCCACAGCCGCTGTGTCTGTGTTATAGCGCTGATGCTTTGTCTCCCTATCACTCATGGAAGTGGAAAACCACCCCCTGTTTGGTATGAGGATTTCATTGTCTTCCGGTACCAATTTTCATCCACATCAGTTCCAGGGAGTCTATGCCTTGCCTTCGTTCCTTCCGCTTCCAGCGGCACGCAGGCCGGGTACCCGGACCCCTTCGCGGACTTTGACTTCGACACCAAGCCGAAGGAGCCGAAGGCTGCTGCCAAAGCTACGTCCAAGGCTGCAGAGACTTCGGCCTTGGCCAAGAAGGCCCAGGGTCGCGGTGAGAACAGTTTTTGTACTGATCGGATGTACATACCAACGGATATGAATAGACTGATCATACTTAATGTATATCTAGAAGAGTGAATTGATGTGATTTCGGTATTTCTGTTTGTTCATGTGCTTCTTTGGGGTGGTCAACAATCTTATGAGAGTCAGCTGGCTGCTGGTTCCACTGTGGTGCTGGCAATTTACATCAGTTGATGTGAGAACCACAAGTCGCCATGGCGACATGGGGGCCCCCCGCTTCAGGTGGCCAGGTTCTCAGTGGTGGGCAGGTTCTGCAAAACAAAGCTCGACTGCCACCTTTTCAGCTCGGGGGAGACAGACGGATTGATGTGACGTTCAGCTCATCACAGTCAGGCCAGTAGTGAGGCCATTTGTGTGGGACTGCAGCTTTTGACACCCCCAAAAGTGGCCACTCCAGGAAGAGGAGAAGTCCACCATCCAAGCAGCAGTGAAACAGAAGAGAACCTGCTGGGATGCAGCTTTTGATCATCCCTATGCCGGAGCCTTGAAATCCAATGGCACTGGAATCTATTGTCGGCCTTGTCAGAGATGGATCGTGACCTATGAGCACCTTGGAATAAATTAGGAAACTTGTTGGTTGACTGGTTTGACTGATTGGTTGATTGATTGATGCTTGATTGGTTGCTGAGGAATTTTAGCCTAGGGTTGAACATGGTTCTCCGTTCTTCAACATGATGCAGGAGGGATTGACCGATTGACCGAGAGAAGAAGGCCGGCCTTGGCACAAGCCAGGCAGATCAGGTATAGTTTCTTGTTACTAGTAGTGAGAATGCTCCTAGTAGCGATGCCAGGAGCCCCTAGTATCGTCCTCACTCCTAGTATATAGTAAGGCCAGGAGCGTGTAGTAGCTTCTTGTTACTAGTTCATTCCAGCCCTTGCTGAGGTTCAACACCGAAGTCTTCCTGACGCATGTGGAGAGAGTCCATCCGAAACCGCCTCCGGGTTGGTCCACATGAGCCTGCATAAGCCAAGCCCAAAAGGGGACGCCGGTCCTGAGAGGGAGAGATTCATGATGATTCATCGCCAGTTTGTGAGAGGGCCAGATGCTTGGTGACATGTCACTGAACTTAAATTTTATGATCTTAAAGAAGATTCACTACTATGAGACAAAATGCTTGGTTCGGGATTGAACTCATCCTTGAGAGCTACACTTCATATTGAAGGGGTCCATGACGCGTTGGATACGCTTGTGCCTTCTTGCCCCTTCTAAACCCATATACAAAGACCGCATTTGTTCGGATATAGTGTCAGTCGATGGTGTACATGCCGTGTCGCATGTAGACTTCCACATGGCAGAGTCTCGACATGGTTCTTACACTTGCTCTTTTCCCCGCAGGCAGCGTCGTACGGCAAAGGCGCTGGGAAGGCAGGCCGTGCGAAGACGTTCGATTCAACACCACTGCAGGGCAGACAGGAAACAGTCTAGAGTCTAAAGAGTCTAGAGTCTGTGGACGTTAATGTTGATGCCAGCCTTTAAGTTGAGCCCATTTGATTGCCGGTACTTGAATTTATGGGGGTTGCAGCGAGGGCATTGAACAACTGGTTGCCCGTGCCCCGCCCTATGGAGTCCGTAGAGTCTGTTGTGTACTCAAGCACTCGGAAGCCTAGGAGTCGATCATTTGGGTGTTGGTTTGGAGCCGTTTCCTGCCTCAATCCCAGCCCCAAGATCCAGCCAAACACATTTTTGCACCAGTCTAAAGACTGTTCTTTGTCCTGAGCACCCAAGAAGCCCCTTGTGGGCAGCATTCACAAACATGTTGTTCATGATTTCCGATTCAGAAGTCTCAGGAGTTTCGAATCTGTAGATTGAATATGGTCGGTAAATCATGTAAGCACCTTAAACATCAATAGAACACTGATTGGTCATGTTTTTGTTAATGTATATTTTTCGGATTGGTTCATGTACTATACTCCAGGATGCTTGTATATGCTTGTAAATGCTTACCCACGCTGTTGGTCCACCGAAACGCAGGACAGGGGCTACAAGGCCTGGCCCGCTGTGGGCTCCGTCACTCGGGTCACTCGGGTCCGATTTCGGAATCAGCACATTATCCTTTCAGAATGGTCATGTTGTCCATGACTCGATGTTCATGATGTCTAAGGAATCCTGCACACCAACCTGAAACCGAAACAAGCAAACACTGCAATGGGAACGCCCAATCTCTTTTGGTGGTTTTCTGAATTCTTTTGAAGGTAGGAGGGCGCAGCGAACCTTGGATGATGTTCGTGCCTATCATGCTCTGAAGGTGGTCTTGGGACCCAAGTGCGAAGGAAGCACACAAGCTGCAGAGCGATTTTCTTTTGGAGTTGCTGTTGAGGCCTTTAGAGGGGTGCATCTCACAAGCAGCTTCGTCGGATGTTGCCTGCATCATGGGTGACCAACCCTGCAAACTTCCGCCCAAAAGAACCCCAAATTAGCAGCTAGCTGCGTGGTTATGGAACATGTTCCAAAGTATCCCTATCAGCCTATGAGGTGCTTTCTTGGCAGTTAGCATCCCCTTCAGCTTGGCTCAAAACGTCGGGCCACAATGAAGGCGCCGCGTCCTGTTCCGCGGGTGCTGGCTCTCCTGAGCCTCGCGTGGTTGGCACCGTGCGCTCATGGGGAGGCGCCGTTGCCCAAGGTGCCCAAGGCCGGAGACGAATTCGCTTTTGGAAGGCTGAAGGTATGAAGACATTAGGTATCATTAGGTCATTAGGTTGACTTAGTGACTATAATAAGCAGTAATAAGCTTTGTTGTTCCTGATGTCCGAATTCCGAGCGTGGCGTTGTTCTACACTTGCACGCTGTATTCAGAGCTTTTAAATGTATCCAAGTGTTCGAAAGACTTTTCTAAGTGATTCTGTGTTTTGCTTGTGGTGTGTCATGTTCTCATGACGGTCACATCAAGCATGCCACAGGTCTTGCCTCGATGAGTCTTGCGTCGATGCGTCGATCTCACCTCTGAGTCGTCTAAGTCTAAGTCATGTGAAACAATACACTCCCCTGAATAATCATGAAAGTGGACAAAAGGACGACTGAAAAGACCCTTTTCTCTACAAACGGTGTTCCACTTCCATGTTAGTTCCCCCGAAGTGTGCATAGAGAGACGAGCCCCGCCCCCATGCAGTTCCAGGTCTTCAATGCGGGACCAGATGGCTTGCCACAGCTGCCCACCCACGTCCTGGAGGAGTTTGAGGATGTGACACTCGGATGTTGATCCTGGTTTGTGCTCCCCAAAAAAGCACCTCCAGAACCAGAAGTGGAAGCCTCCGTCATAGGGATGATCAAACATGATTTAAAGACATTGTGATGCTTTGGCAGTTTCAGAGTTGTGACGTGAGTTTGTTGAAGGATGTTGAGATTGTTGAGGTTGTATTTGTATTTTTCTTCATGGCTTCATGGGGATACCCGTTCTATATTCTTGATGCACCCGGGAACTTATGCCCAACCCCTACAAGGTGCAAAGGACTTAGTGTGTTTTCAAGAGTTAAACTCATCGTCTCGCTGCCTCCCCGCTCCCCGCTGTTCCGGCCGGCTCAGGAAGGACCACCTGAACACACGTGCGAGCAGCTTTGAAGATCATCTCTCGCAGTTGGAGCATGCCAGTTTGGAGCGTGTGTCCCAGCAGAGACAGGTCTACGATGCCAAGCTGCGAGAACAGGAGAAGGAGAATCAGGTCGGCTGGGCGGTTTTGAAGCGTACTAACACTGTGACACTATAAAGCTTAGGTCAAGAAACATTTACAGGAGGTTTGGCTGCCGGTTGGAATTTCATGTGCGCAGCCTTCATGCAATGGGAACACCGAACGTGCTTGGGCTCTGCGGGTTCGCTCACCCTGAGGTGCTGGTGAAGCGCAACGCCGTCCTGGCCAAGGAGATCATCGCAGCACGGCAGCAGAACGCAGAATTGAAGAAGGAGGTGGCACACCAGGCACCTTGGAGGGCCGACTTGTGACTCCAGCATGGGAAGACTCGAAGTTCCTTTGATTCCTGATACTTCTTAATTGCTTTTTGCTGCCCTTTTGAGAGATGGTCGCTTGAAGCACCCTCGAAAGGTTTACTGGTTGTTCTGACCATGCGTTTGGGGGAAGAAAAGCTGCTACGATTTGGTAGATGTCCTTGAGACACAAAAATGGGCCTGCCAATGGAGGGCTCTGGCAACCTGAAGGCTACAGAAATTTGTTCCCACAAGGAGTTCTCCAGGATTTGACCTTCCTGCCCTTTGAGGTGGGAATGCGTGACCTGTGGGAGGGTTCTTCCAGGTGCGAGGTCACCTGGCGAAGCGAAATTCCGCTCCCTGGTCAGGAGAAGCTGGTGTCCTTCCGGAAGAGTGAGCTCCGAGCATTGGAGCAGCAGCTGGCGGAGGGGGAGATGCTCGGAAGGGATTATGTGAGGTGTGCCTGTGTGCCTTGAGACTGAGGGGGGTGGCTGTCTTCCAGGCAGTAAAGGTTGAATCACACAAGGTGA